ACTGCTGAAATAGCCAAAGATTCCTCAACATTACCCGAACGGGTTCGTTTTCTCCAAAGAATTCGCTCGCGAATATCTCCATGCGAATATGATATAATGAGAAACACAGATTACGAAAGTGCAACAAGATTCGTTCGAATTATACACTCCTTTATCGTTCAATGAATTTTTTCGTGTTCCAATTTCAGTATCGCATCTCACAGCAGATTTCTAATTTAACATCAGTCTCCTCGGATCTAGCTCATATCCAATCGCGTTAATCGGTTCCTTCCTCCTACGTAACATTTCTTATCCGCTCCAAATGCTAAAATAGAGCAACAGATCTGGAATTTGAAACAATACAAAACAGTTACGTGTTCAGTAAATGAATTGTGAAAATGTTTAGAAGTCAAGTGAATCTGCCAAAGATTCATCAGCGGCTGCTGTAGCACCAAGCACGTCAACGGATCAAACGAATTTGCAAACAACACCCTCGAAAACGGCAAATGAAGAACATGGTCAAGAATTAGAAGGCGAAGGTGCGAAGAAAAAGGTTGACGATGATGATTTGAAGCAGGAAGAAGAATCGTCTCCGAAAGCAACTGCCGATGAATCGAGCAAGGTGCGTGGCGATTAATGAATACCGAATTAATGGCGATTAATGAAATTATATAGCAATCATATGACATTAAACCAATCACAAAACTCGATTGCTCGAAGCATTTTAACTGACATTGGTGGCATTTTCAAAGATATACCATAACGGTAGTAACTTTCTTGACATCAGCTCTTGCGCTTTCCTGCTAACGATTCACTGCACCCTACGTTAGCGATATGAACGGTAACTGTACCCTTCCGTATACAATGGAATATATTCACTGAAAAAAAATCTGATTTCCAAATATCTATCAATCAATTCTTATCTTGTTTTGTTTGGCTATTGTTGATTTGTTACAATTAGTCAAATACTGACAATTACAGGAATCTGAACAGTCTCCAAAAGTATTTCATGGCCACATGACTTCAATTCAGATCGCATCTTCGTCCAATGGTCAAGGTAATTAATGGAGAAATTTTATTCGCAATAATCTGAGCATTATGATGCTTTTTGATTTGATCAGCGAACAACAAGAATGACTCCTCACGAAAATGTGCCTTTTGTTGCGCCTAAATGCCATTCAGTGAACTTTGTCTGGACTATTCATCTCACATAGTTTCTTAGGCTCTGAGCGCTTCCATTCTGGTTTTATCTTCTTTTCAATATCTCATCATTAGTTATCTTTTGTAAGTTCTGATCGAATTCGATGGTTGATTTATTTCGAGCATTATTCACCAATGTTGACTATTCAAAATTCTGTAAGCATTTCAGGCCAGCATGTGAATATGAGTGCATTCGTTGTATCACAGCCTGGTGCGAGTGGTAGCACCGAACAGTTGCAAGTCTGTGAAAATGAAGATTTAGCCAAGATTCAAGCAATTAAAAACGAAATTATCAGTGAAACGGTTTGCGTTTAATTCAAATTTGAAGTGAATAATAATCTATCTTATTGTTACTAAAAATTTCATCGTTCAATCGATTTTCCTGCTAGCAATAGACGCAGACTGCTGAAAATTTGCATGTTCCTTATCAATTTGACATGAAATAACCATGACTTACGCTTACTTTTATATTTTTTGGATATTACGATTAAAATGATCTCTTTACAAACCTAGAGTTATGGCCTATCAAGCATACTTGAATATAAGTCTTATCACTGTTTTGTTCTTGGTTGATAATTTCTGCAGTATTAATTATTGACTCATTGATTCCATCATTCGAATATCACTCAATCCTGAAACTTTCATCTTTAGTTTTCTACCTTCGGAATATTTCCTACGATAATTTAATGTTTATATCAATAGTGATCCTCATTACCCAAACACCACACAAGTTAATCCAAAGATCAGATCAAACGTCTTAACTTCAGAGTTAATAATGCAGAACTTCCAGAAGAACTGGACGGATGATGCAAACAATGTACGACATGAAAGTTTTCAATACAACGGCACACATACGATCACCGAGGTGACTGTAAATCAGCACACCGTTCCGATTGTTGAGATATGATTAATTGATGTCTTCTTATTGTTTCATTTTGTGACTTAAAACTTTTTCGTGGTGCAGTTCATGACTTTCATATGTGTTTCATATTCAATTCTGGGTGCATCACAACTTAATTCAATTTCATCCTCATTCACTGAACACCCAATCAGTCAATCATTACCCGTTCTTTGGGCAATAATTATCAACTTAGTTCC